GACCCTCTGCCAGCCGACGGTTCCATCCATCCCATCCCATCCTACCCCATCCTGCTCCCCACCAGTCAACCCCCCCAGTTGGCCTCATGATGCTGTACATATGTACTAGTACCATAGCACCTACCTAGACTACCCTACCCAGACTACCTACCACTACCCACCCATCCACTACATGCCACTACCATTACCATCACCACCACCACGTATCGATTTACTTACCCCTACCCTACCCTACCTACACTCCATGTACCTACCCACCTACCAAATCACCCTCCTCCCCCCTACCTAGCAAACCCTTCCAAGACCTGTGTACTCGGCCCCAACGGTTCCCAGGTTGCTTACTGTACTGCTACTACTGCACCCCCCCTCCCCCCCCCCTCCCCACCGCCGCCAGATGTACCGAGATCGCTCACGCGCTCCCCCAGGCTGTGCTAACGCGGGCTTCTGGTCGACGGCCGCGTCTTGAATCGCATCGCATGGGACGTGGGTGCGCGCCCTCCCGCTCATCAAGCCTCGCCGTCTGAGCAACCCCTGCCAGGTCCCACTGCCAAAGGCCTTAATTTGAACTTACATCTCACGCCTGCATATCCACCCAGCACAACTACCTACCCTACCTACCCTACCTACCCTACCTACCTATTGGACCTCTTCCTCTCCCTCTCTGCAAACCACTCTTGAATGTCGTGATCATCGCCGCCCGCCCCAACACAACGCCGCCAGAGAATGCGTTTGGCCTGTCCTACTGCTCCGCCGCCATGTCCACCGACGTCTCCCAGTCATTGGCCGCCGCAATGGCGAGACCACAGATTGGAATCGACCGTCTACCCGCCCGCCGCGTCTCCAACGAGCCTCGAGAGGCCATGAACTGCAAAAGCTGCCGCAAGCGAAAGGTGCCTTTTTCCTTTTCTTTCTTTTTCCCTCTCCTTTTTTTCACTATTCCTCTCCCAAGCTAGTCATCTCTCTTTCTTCCCTTGCCACCCGCAACCGCGCTGACAAAGACTTTCAAAAGATCAAGTGCAACCGCACCCGCCCAACTTGTGAGGCATGCCAGGTCTTCAATTGCCCGTGTATCTACGGTAGGCTGTCCCATTCAAAAAGTCCCACTTGGGGCCCATGCAGACGTGAGCTGACGGCCACCTGCAGATGCTGTGCCCAAGAAGAGGGGTCCCAAGACCGATGTTCTTGAAGCATTGCTCAAGCGTGTGGATGGCCTCGAGAAGCGTCTCGTCTCCGAGGGAAAGAGCGATGACCTAACCGACATTGACCCCTCCACCACCACCACCACCAACAACAACAACAACAACAACAACAACAACAATAACAGTAACAACAACAACGCCACCACCACCGCCAAAAATAACGGCAACAACAAGACCAACACCACTACCGTCGATACCAAACAAGAACGTACCAGCTCCCAGTCCCCTCACGATACCTCACCCACTCACTCCCACGCCACCAATCATGCCAGCCAGTTGATGTCACCAATCGAGCCCAGGTAGTCACTCGTGCCTTTTCCTTCCGCCACTCCACAAGATAGGCTAACAGGACTCCAGCTTATCCACACCAGCGCTCGCACCTGATCTACTGCTGGACACATACTTTGCCAGACTCCATGGAAAACCTTACTACATTCTGGATGAGAGCAACACGAGGCAGCGCCTGCACGCCAATCAGCTCCCAAGCCACTTAGCCTATGCTATTTATGCAGTGAGCGCCAGGTACGCTACCTATAACAGGATCCCCTGGGTCTTAAAGACGCACTCCATTAAATGTTTGTAGATATGCGCCCCACTTTGGGGGATACAGTGCTGCGGTACGCATCGGTCAGGAATATGCCCGACGTGCTCGCTTGGAGCTTGACATTGATGAGCCCTCGATCGAGACTCTGCAGACCCTCATGTTGCTCTCACAGGCCAATTTCCAGCTTGGCAAGGGGAAGAAGACATTCATGTTGCTGAGTAGGTAGTGTACACGGTAGCCACTCGGGCGCAATGCTAACACATGGAACCAGCCTCGGCGATTAGCATGGCTTTTGCCCTGGATCTACACCGCGAATTACCAACGGCAAGCAAGGTGACTCCTGCCGAGCGCGAGGGCCGTCGACGATTGTTCTGGTCCTGCTATCTCATGGATCGGTTTGCTGCGACTGGATCCAAACGGCCTTCGTTGATTTCGGATGAATCCATTGTTCTACGGTTACCCAGCTGGCAGCTTCATCCAGGCGCTCTGCAACTAGAGGGTGACTATTTCCCCAATGGATGCAATTTACAATTTATGGGTGGTAACGGAAAAGGTGGACAAGGCAGCATGGGTATGCTGATCGGCATATCGCGAATCCTGGGCATAACGAATCGCTACCTCGCCGCCGGTGGTGTCAAGGGCGACTCGCACTTTCCTTGGCACTCACTCTCCAACCTATCCAAGATACGGCAGGAGCTCGACATTTGGGCGTCGGAGACGCAAGATACCTTCACCTCCATCGAGGCATTGTTTGGCCAACCTGACAGCACCATCCTCGTCCTCAGCAAACTCATCTACCACCTGATACACTGCCTCATCTACCGACCTTTCCTCCCCGTCAACCTGGCCGAGCTCTCTGGAACATCCCAACATCAGCCCTGGCAAATCGAAGCAACCAACCTGTGCTTTCTCCATGCAAACGCCATTGCTGAGCTTGCTGAGATTGGGAGGGCTTCGTCCATTATCGATTGGCCCGCTTTTGTGGGCTATTGCGTCTGCACAGCCGGCACGATCCACGTCCACGGTGCCCACTACCCGGGCAGAGAAGGCGAGGTGTTCTCCGTGAGTGCCGAGTTTCTGTCGCGGGAGATGCAGCAACTCGCCGAGCTTCGGTTCATCTGGGCGGGCGCCCAACATCAACGAGACACATTACAAGCCATCTACGGATGCCACACGGAGCTGGTGCAATCTTTGGAAAGCAACCCGATGCGTTATGCACCAGTCTTTCAACTCGAAGACTTTTTCGATCGATATCCAACGCATGTTTTTGACGGTGCTCACATCACCTTTACCAACATTGCGGTGGAGTCCATTCATGAAGGGTGAGCACAAGGCATCCACCAAGGGTGCCGCCAACTTTTTGCTGACAGCACGCTAGTCTTGCAACCTTTAACATTGAACAACGCAACAACATGTACATGACAAGCGGCGTGATCGGTGGCGTCTCCGGCTACCAGAAGCAGTCGGCACCATCACAGCAGGGTCAATATGCGAATGGCCACGCGAACAAGAGACGGCGAGCCACCACATCAAGAATATCCTCACAACCCAATCCAGCACCAGCACTACCAACGCCAACATCCGCAACCCACCCACCGATTATCACGACACACCGAGCATCTGACGCTGGCACGTCGGACTCGAATCCCAGTCCATGTGACAGCAGAGCCATGGCGAACAACGGCAGTGTCCCACCTTACACGCCGCCACTGCACAGCAACACTCTAAACCTCCCGACCTCAAACGGGACCGGAATCGCGCTGCCGTTTTCTCCCAACTTTTCGTTTTCGCCTCTGCCTCAGTTTGCGAGTTTGGCGCCCTCGCCGGTGCCTCGGCCGGCGAACCTTCAATCAAACCAAGAGGGCCATGCGATGCATTTCGACCCAATGTTGAGTATGCCGACGCCATACGAGCAGCAGGCAACGCCCGGTGCGGGAAGTACGTCAGGCACGTCTGTACACACAGATGCTGACAGCAAAGACCCGTTTCTTAGCTTGCTAGAGCAGCTTGCAGAGAATGAGGTTAGCAGGGGCGGACCCAGCGAGCTGGACTTCTTTCTGAGTGGACAGAGTGGATGAGACTAGCCAACCTTCCAGAATAGGCTTGGACGGGCGGGCGATGCGAGGCCGCGTATCCAGGTCCGGCACTCGGATCGACGAGGTTGATTATATTGCCTTGGAAACGAGGCGAGGGTGTTGAAATGAAGAAGGCATGCAAAGGCTTCGACAGTCATGCATTGTAGATGCTGCAGGCAGGATCGGCAGGATACAGAAGGCGATGAGGGCGGGGGCGGGATTGCATGTTTCACGACCGAATGACGGCCGGTACCAGATACGTTGTGATGGAGCGTAGTGTGTATGTAATTGTAGGATAGTCTTGTGCAGCCATTGAGCGAGGGCGGTTGCATGCTGCTGGGCGGTTTGGGGCCAGAAGCGAAGCGCGGCCCAGTTGGGTTTACCACGGTCGTCACGAATAGCTCATGTTTGTTGTTTACCTGGATGCATGGCCAGTCTTGTCATGGCAGCATGTTGATGCGGACACTATGGAGGGGAGGGGAGGAGAGCACAGCAAGCAGACCAGCAGACTCCCTCGCCCGCCTCGGCCTAAAAACTCTCAACACCTTTCAAGCTGTGTGCGTGCATGACGCAGAAGTCGATCCAATCAATCAAAATCCAAATAGAAAT